AACCATCTGCCAGGGCTTCTCCCAGGGTAGTCAACACTTATCATCCCGAGGACTGGATTCACTTTCTCATAATTAGATCATTCCTGAATTAAATTGACGGTCCCAGGGAAAAAAAAAAAAAAAGCAAAGTGTGTGTTGAGGCCAGAAAGCAAACGCCGACTTATTTTAACAAAAGCAGACGACTACATATTTTTCCACAGCGACAAAGTGGCGCAATAAATGAGTTTTCTAAACTAGGTTGCATATTGCAAACAATTCTTATCTTCCATGCCACCCTTGTGAATTATATTCAGACTTTTGTTTGGAAAGGTAAGGCATTTCTTGGAAGCTCCACACATAAACCGGAAGGATAGGTAGCTGTTTATAGACCTACGTACCCAAGCAAGGTCAGACCAGGTTGACCAATCTTATCAAATGGTGCCAATGCCAAAGTCTCTGTGCATTTGGTGGCACACCCATGAACCTGCTCCTCAGTCAAAATAAAGGGAAAGAATTACAGGCAGTTCCTTGTATCCCAAGGTAGTCATTTGTTGGAAAGGCCTGGGTTAGGGGAGTCTGGTCAAATACACCACTAAAAGATCAAACTGGAACCAGGTCCCAAAATCAACACAATCGTACTCTAAGCAAAAAGAGGTGAAGATATGAAATGGGAGGAGCATCTGAAAGCTTCTCTGTAAACATAATTTCATTCCCTGCCAGTAATTGGGTGATGTGCCTCGAGTTAGATTCAGACTCATGGGCACTTAACTGCACAAGGTTTTTCAAACATTGCACATCAACGCAAATCCTTCCAGGAAGTATTTCCGAATTAACGAACGTGACTATTCATTTTTTTCCTGTTATTCTTCAGAAGTTTTCACACCACTTGGTTATTATCACTGTTTTTCTGATGAGACTCAGAGACAGAAACCAATGAAACGCAGTCTCATAGGGCCTTCGTCAACCATGGGTTAGGAAAGATTAATTTAACTCAAAATAGAATGAGACCAACTCATTTTTTCCTAAATATCCAAGTTAGACATTTCGATGCTGACTTTTGCAGGGATATGTTATTAGAGGTAAGATAAAGGAAGGCAAACAGAAGGAAATAACAACTAGGTCCTCATAACATTATAAGACAAATTAAACTTACTATTAAGTTCTTGCAATATCTATGTATATAACGTAATATTTCTATTTCTCAAACTTTTAATGTTTATCAACCCTGCTTGATTGTAATAGTCACCTGAAGCATTTGATAAAAACAAAGGATTTTTAAGTCCTTCTTCTAGAGGTTTAAATTCAGTAGGTCTGGGCCTCAATAATCTTTTACACAAACTTCTCAGATGCAAAACCTTAAGAGTGGAACACTCAGGCTAGGATTGAAGCAAAAAGAAAAAGGAGAAACGTACAGATGATGCAGTGCTGGCCTGGGTGAGGGGCAATTACCTTCCTCTACACATACACTAGGAGGGTAGGGCCTGGGGTGCTAACAACCTCACAGGAAAAGGAGATGAGATTTTGTAGCCTCGCTTGGCCAGAAGCTGTTCAGATGCCTATTTTAAAAGCATCCTTGGCCAGGTGTGGTGGCTCAGGCCTGTAATGCCAGCACTTTGGGAGGCCAAGGTAGGCAGATCACAGGTCAGGAGTTCGAGACCATCCTGGCTAACATGGTGAAACCCCATCTCTATTAAAAATACAAAAAATTAGCCGGACACGCGCCTATAGCCCCAGCTATTCGCGAGGATGAGGCAGGAGAATCACTTGAACCCAGGAGGCAGAGGTTGCAGTGAGCCAAGAATGTGCCATAGCAGTCCAGCCAACTCCATCTCAAAAAAAAGTTAAGAAATAAAATAAATAAATAAATAAAAGCATCCTTGAAAAATGAACCCCTTCATGAAGAAAACACTAGAAAAACTCAACCCCTTGCCAAGGAAGTAAAAAAGGAACTTGCCATCTACCTGGAATTCCAGGTAGAAAATTCAAAAAAAATAAAAAATAGGCCCCTATGAGAAGCTGAAATCCTAAAGCTATGGAATATGCAAATGTATTTAAGCTCGAAATTCACACTACCCCATGCTGCAGGCTAGAGACACTTGTATGACCTAAGATACACAGTACTCAGTGGGAAAAATAATTTCTGATGAAGATGATTTTACAGTCAAAAATTACAATCATATAAGGAACAAGTCCACTATATATAAGATACAAATAAGGAAAATTAGCATACCTTAAGTACTTGTCATTATCAACTAGTATTAATATAAAACAAGCAAGTCTGAAAAATTTTAAGAAGTTTTAAAGAAGAAATAGAAAACATAATGAAGTAACAGAATCCTATGACCAAAAGAGAGGCAATTTTCAAAAAACTCTAGGAAGGACAAACACAGTCACTTAAAATTACACAAAGGACATGACACAAAAGAACGCATCTGGCATGTTTCCATTTACGTGAAATTCAATAAGAGGCAAAACTAATGTGTCATGATGGAAGTCAGAAGAGCATTTAGCTTTGGGAGGATATTGACTCAGAGGAGCTTTCAGGGGCTAGAAATGTTCTCTGTCTTGATGTGGGTGACAGTTTCATGAGTGTTTTCCCATGTAAAACCATCATCACCGCATGTATGTCAAACCACCGTTTAACAATTTCAATAGGCAGTTGAAACAGCAGATTAGACAGAAGGAGTGAACCATTCTGAAAGAACCAAGGAAATTGCCTGAAACATGAGACAGAGAGAAAAGGAGCCAAAAGAAATGAGAGAAGCAAAATGGGATAAAATGAGTAGATCACTCATATGCCCAACAGAAGCTTCAGAGAAAAAGATCGAGAAAAGAGAAAGTGTCCAAGAACACTCTAGAATTAAAGGAAAACATGAGTGATCAGAATGAATAAGCACCCGTCTTGAACAGAATAAATAAGTATATCCACGCTTAAACATGTCATGGTGACCGTGCGGAACACCAAAGCAAGAGAAAACCTTACAAGCAAAACCAGGAAGACCAATTACCTGCAAAGGAGCAACAAAGTGACTGACAGCAAACTTCTCATCCACAACGTGAGACGCCCCCTACCGTGAAAGGCCACTGCCAAGCCGTTGACAATGTGGAGTATGACTTTTGTGCAAATCGTCTGCTTAGAGTACATAGTTTTTCACTGAGGCCGTTTAGTGTCCAATGCCTCCTTCCTTCATTCCTTCAACAGATTGACCACCTACTATGTGCCAGCCCGGGCAAGGAACTTTTCTGCTTTCAAGGAGCTCAACACTCTGAATTCAGGTGAATGGTAAGTGCTGTGATGCAGAAAATACAGGTGCTCCAGAGGGCAAAGGAATGATGTCGAACCCAGAGGAGAAAATGACGGACAGCTTCTTGGAAGAGGCAGATCCAAGCTGAGACTCATCAGGTGGGTGGCAATTAGCAAGTGACGACTGTGAGCTCCATGAGAGCAAGAGCCTGGCAGTCTTCACACGAATGTATCCCCAGGATTCAGAGCAATACTTGGCACTCAGGAGGTGCTGCGTACATGCTTCTTAAAGGAAGGAATGAATGAATAAATGAATTGCTGCGGGAGTCAATGAGTGGAGAAATCAGAGCAGATAAATCAACACAGGTTTAAGGGAAAGCACGCGGAGGTGAGGAAGCATAGCATGCTGGAGGACCAAGTTCAGTACAGCTACAAAGGCGAGCACGTAGGCAAGTAGGGGAAGGACAGATGAAAGATGAGTCTGGAAGGCTAGACAGGGGACAACGGAGGCCATGTTAGAGGGCTTGAATTATATTCTATGAGCAACAGGAGTCCAACGTACGGTTTTAAGAACATGAGACAGGAGATTCGCATTTCCAAAAATCCACTTGGGTCCTAGTGCCCACGTAAGAAAAGTTAGCGCTGCTCCGTAAGGGAAAAGAGCGCTTCCTCACTGGTCTTAGGACATGCAGCTTTCAGACTTCCACCCAGAAAGTGTGTGCAAGAAAGAGCGAGCGAGCGAGCAAGAGAAATTGAGACTGTGCGTGAGCAGGTCTGAGAAATAAACATAAAATCCTGGCTATCCAAATCCTGCAGTGGGTGTATTTTCCAATCAGCCATGAGGCTTATGGCAGAGATAAAATAGGAAAGGAATATGTCCCCAGCTCCAGCCGTACATTCTGTTCAGGCTTTTCAATTTAAAAATTCAATGTGCTGGTCGGCACCATGGCTGTTCTCGTGTTTGGCCTACGCCGGGCCAAATCCTGCCCCAAAATATCAACGCGTCAGATGTGGGCCCAGACAAGGGATTCTAACTCTTCCGAAGTTTTTTTCCCCTTTCATAAAAGCAGCGAGCCAGAGAAGGGTCCATGGTAACAATTACGGCCTCCCTTGTGTGGACAGCGTCCAGAAAGGGGGCAGCAAGCCCACAGAGCCTGGCTGAATCAAGCCATTCCCCAGCCAATGCCAACCTCAGCAACTTCTCTGTTCGCAGCTCTTGTTAGAGCTGCAAAGCACTGGTAGAGCTGGCTGGCAGGGGTGGGGGCGCAATTCTGAGGATGTGTCCACTCTGCGTTCAAGGGTCCTGCCATGTCATAAACTCTGCATCTTTCGTATTCCTGGTCCATAGCACACGCCTCTGACAAGCCACAGTCCCAGGTTGTTCTCAACAACTGGTTAAAGTTACTTGTCAGAATTGCAAGCAGGATTCCTCCAGCACGATCAGTGTCGCTTCGTCTGGTCAGCCGGAAGTGAGCTAAGACAGCGAGGAAGAGAGTCACATCTCAAGGAGTTCTCTAGCACGGCCATCTCAGGCCAAGGAAGGGCAACAGGATACCTAAGAATGAAAGGAAAACCTGCCACCGGGAAGGAGCTGGCCCGGGAACAGCCAGGGGGCAAGAGAAAGCAGAAAAACAATCCCTAGGGGTGGCTGTGCCAGCTGACTTGGCTGAACGCTGCACAACTCCAAGGAGCTCCATTTGCTTAGGCTGCTAACTCCTGCCTCCACACATGAAGAAGGGCACACGCACAGAGGGGAAGGGAAGCCAAGATGCTGAGGGGCTGTTTCGGATACACGTTTAATGCAGTTAGGGGACGGGGAAGGGGAGCTTGGGTCGGTGGTGTGGTAGGATGCACAAGCCAGGAAGAGCAACCTTCTGGACTCACGCTGAGCAACTCTTCTAGGCCTCACTCTTCTCCTCTGCAACATGGGGATCATAGTTCTTGTCTCCTAAAGACGCAGTGAGAATTTTGAGGGCTAAACCCAATGTGTTCAGTACCTAGAGCAGAGTAAGCAATCCGTAAGTGACAGCTCCTTTGATGAACCGTGATCAAATCACATCCCGCACTCCAGGATGACATTCTTACTAACTCACTGAGGATCTCTGTGACCTCAGCACCTAGTGCCGTGTCTGCTGAGTACAGGAACTGATTGCTGCAGACGGAAGAGACGGAGGGAGAGAGGAAGGGAGAAACTCTTACTTCTGCATCATGGGCACCCAGCAGACGTCAGGCATTCTTGAGAATACTAGTATATTCACAGACACTGTTTGTTGAATGGAAAGTATTTATTCGTCAGCTACTTACAAAACACTAGCTGAGGACCTGTTGTATGCAAAGCACTGTATTAAAAACCCTGGAAAACACACGGACAACTCCACGACATCCCTGTCCTCAAGGATCTCAAACTCAGTCGGAGACTCCTACATAAATCATCCTAGCAATGATCAGCTATGATAATACTATCATACAGGCCCAAATAAGAGAGGATGCTGACCATCCCTCCCTTCGCCCCCGCCGCCAAACAAAAGGTACGGCACGTGTTCTCTAGTTCCTTCCTGATGAAGGGAAGAAATTTTTGCCACTTTAAAGCTGTGGGAGAAAAGGATAAGAATATGATCACACCTGGATGCAGTCTGCTCATCTTCCAGCCTGGCAGCACGTGGCCCTCGGCAGCCCTCTCTGCCCACAGCTACCAGATCTAAGGCACACGGGAGGGTCTGATGTTTACTCAAGAATGGTCTGGCTTATCTTTCTCTACAATAATCCTACCATATGGATTCGACAAAGGCAAAGCTTTCGCAGGACCCAAGAGGCAGGGTGTGCTGTAAACATCACTTCCACCAGTGGGAACAGTCTAATGTCTAAATTCCAAAAGATATCACCGATACCGCTTATAATTAGCATGCTAAATAAAATCGAGGCAAGCTGCTGGCTTTCATAGGCCTCATCCCATTATGCAGTTAGAAGAATATGTATGTGTGTATATACGTGTGTATACATATGCATATATACACACACATGCACACACAAACATACTACTTGCTGGACCCAACCTTTCTGAAATTTGTAAGGGAGAAAGGCTAGAAAACATGTCTACCCCACGTATGAAGATGAGAAAGGCAAATGGAATAGACTTTCTCCTTCATCTTACAGGACGCACTAGCCAAGGATGGATTAAATTAGATGGACCTGAGGACAGCTGAAGCGCGAAACATACCACAGATTAACCATATTTCCAGAGCTAGGCTTTAAATGCGAGAATCGTTTGAGGAGCATCCAGAATACCGAGCTGCTAGCCTCCATGAGCTAGAAACTTAGCAAATGAAAATGCACATCGTGGCTCCACTCACATGAAAAGAATAGCACACAGTAACACACGAGTGCTGTCCTCTCTACAGTCTCTCTTTAAAGAAATCAACAGCCTGAAGACTTAGCTCAATCCTCTTCTCATCACATCTACCTTTCCGTCACGATTGTATTTGGCAGTCTTTGTGATTCCGAGCCGCAGAGCAAATCATGAGGCTATTTCCCTCCATGAGTTTGTTCTTGTTCAAGAAGACTCTGATGACTTCCAGAGAAAAATCCCGGAAGTGACATTACCAAGTCAGATGAACGGCCAGGGACCCGAACTCTTGCTTCTAAGTTCTTCATCATCCAATGTGTAGAACAAATGCAACACAGCAAACAGGCTATCATTAGGAAAGCTTTTGAGTCAAGTTCTCTCATGCAGAAACCTCACATTCATATTAATTACATAGGAAGAAAAAGTACCTCCAGGTAGTGCTCTCACATTTACTGATAGTTACCATAAAGCTACTCAGTCGCATTTTCAATGACCCAGCCAGCTCAGTCCACTGCCTTGGAAGGGTTTAAGCAGTTTACAACCCAACCCTCCAGCCTCTTCTGTAAGGGAAGGCCTGAAATAAAGACCTGGCATTTCTCTAAGACAGACCTGTTTTTTCCCAGTATGGCGCAGGCTACGGCAAGGGCAAGTGCTACGGGGGTAGGAAAGGAAGAGAAAGAGCCTATCAACTGACAAATAAACAAAAGGTGATACGGCCACACAATGGAAGATTGTTCAGCGATATAAAGGACCAAGGTACTGATCCATCTTATGACAGAAACCCCCAAAACACGATGCTAAATGAAAGAAGCCAGACACGAAAGAATAGAAAGCATATGATTCCACTTAAATGGAATGTCCAGAAGAGGCAAATCTGTATATAGAGAAAACAGACTGACGGCTGCTTCTGCTACACTCGAAACAGGAAGGAGGAGCAACAGCAAATGGGCATGCGGCTCTTTTGGGCTGATGGAAATGTTCAACTAGACTGTGGTGGTGGTTGTGTCACTAAAAATTTGCTAAAAATTACTGAATTGTATACTTAAGGTGGGTAAATTTAATGGTAAGTAAATTATACTTCAGTAACAATTTTTTAGAAAGTTGGAATGAATTTTTTAAAAGTATGTTCTTCGCTGGTTCCTTTAAAAAGCTGGATCTTAGTCACAGGGTTATAGAATATCAGAGCTAGCAGGAAGCTGTAGCATCTCTGTGCTAAGAAGCAGGTGAGGTCTCAGAGTAAAAGCCGTTTGCCCAAAGCCACTTACATAATTAATGGTGGGCTGGGATCAGGGCTGAGGCCTCCTGGTAACTTGTCCAGTGTATTCTTCACAATTTGCCATCATTAATTTGCTTCACAGAAACACCCAGGGCATTAACCATACAGATAATAAAACATATTCGCAAACAGCTGTGCCTGAATCAATGATCAGAATGTTTCTGTGGTATACATCACACTGGATAATCCACGGTTTGGTTATTCTCTTCTTGCATTAGTACTTACATTTTTCATTTTCTTGTCTTCTCAATATTTGTTTTTAGGTGAAAGGCATGGCTGTTTATGAGCTTTAGATTGAAGGTTCTTTCCTGACCCTACAGACAGATGAGTGTTTCAGAAGCCGGATCGACTCTAGAAGGCTCACTGCTTCAGTACTTCTAATGGCAAACACCCCAATTCAGACTTTGCCACAGGGGCTTGTGTTTCTACTAGAAACGTAAAATAGATCTTTATTTGCCACAAAATGAAGATGTGATCCAATTATGCAGAATATGAAGGAATATGTTGTTGAATTACCACAAAAAAAAAAAAATCACACACACTAATTTAAAACAATGATACCATAGCCTTAATTACCTTGGGTTTTACTACTGTGATTTCAAACAGCAGGAAGAGAGGCGACCATGCCTAAGACAAAACACACAAAAGAAAATACGACTCTGTTTAAACAAACAAATGAGCAAGCTAAAAAAGTCTAACTTTTTAGAGCCAAATCAGCCACCCTGAAAATTATTAGTATGCTTTAAGCATCAACCCATGTTATGAAATGAACGCTTGTGTTCCCCTAAAATTTCCACAGCAAAGCACTAACCCTCAAAATGACGGTATTAGAAGGTGGGGCCTCTGGAAAGGTGAGAAAATGAATGACTGCTGTTTAAGCCACCCGGTCTACGGTGTTTTGTTATAGCTGCCCGAGCTAACTAAGACAGCCAAATGCTTCCTTGACAGTCGTGTAGACCTCTGTGTAATTCTTTACAGTGATCAAGGTCAAGGGGTTACACAACATCCCTTTCTCGGGAACTCAATTAGGGGTTAGTTATTCATGTGCATTAAAGTATGTGAGAAAATATTTAGCCTCCCTAAATCTGCATTTTGCAAGGGGCTATTCTTGCACTGACTTACTTATACATTTATAGTCTATCTCCCAATGCTTTTGCCTTGGCATAAAGTGAAAATTAAAATAGAACTGCATATTTAGCTCAACTTCCCCGCCATAGAACCAGTCCCTAACTTTCTCAAATGTACTTCGGCCTTAAAGTGATGCCTGTGTTGAAGTGGGTTTACTTCTCAGGTCTCTGTGTCTACAAGGCCCAGTGGGACAGATGCTCCGGGATGCTCAGCATTCCCCCAAGAGGCAGGTGTCTCCTCTAGAAACACAGAAATTAAAATGTGCAGTAAGGAAGGGAAGAGCCTCGCTGACCAGCATGTGCAGAAGCTCAGGTTTTAAGTATATGGATGATCTTACACTTAAAAAGACTCGAAACTGCCCCTGGGGATCAGAACTTTTCTAGCCAGTCTTTCTTTCTCTGACAATGCCCAGTACTGTTTCCTACTCCATTGAAATGACCCAGCCGATACCTAAAATGGAAAGAAAAATTCCACAACTGAAGGTTGTCCTTGCAGGCAATACGGCGAGTCTAAGACCTAAACTAGATGATCTGAGAATAGAGAACAAAGACTGCATCTCAATTCGCGAGGGTTACCCACATACCTATTGTAACAGAGTAAAATAAAATAATGCTAAACTGCAAAACCTCTCAATTATCAAATCCTATAAGTGCCTTCATTTTCTCAAATGACTCCTAATTTGTGTAAAGAAAAAGGCAGAAACAGAAACGAGAGAAGTCTGTCAGGGTGCGCTAAAGCTATGAACACCTTTTTATTTAAAAGAAGAAAAAAAAATAGATAAACATGCATTTTTAAAAGGGAATTTTTCGAAACCCTGAGCTGCAAAGAGGAACGATTCTTGGCTAAATTGCACTAGTCAAAGACAACGAGACTTATGGTGATGTCTTCTCCCACCCATTCAGGATTCTTCCAGATCCATGGCATGTTACAAGCTGACATAGGACCCTTTCCAATCATGCAACCTAACCTCCTTCGCCAGGAGCTATGATTTTCTTCCTACACTTCTGCACAGAGAGGCCCTGACCCTCAGCTGTCGCTGGGGCTCGGGATGGCGGCCAAGGCGAAAGCAGTCAAGCCGGAGAACTCCCGAAGGTGGTTCTCAGGTGACCAGCTGGTTAGATTTCATCTTGTGTGAGTTTAGCTTTGCCTAGCTAGGCCAAGGAGGCACTTGGCCTGTGTTTAGAACGATTTCTGTTTAGGTTCTTCAGGGCTCAATTATAAACAGCCCAAAGAAAGGCTCTGCTGTCCTGAAGGGCACCTTTCAGGAGAAACAAAAATGGGACTCTCGCTTAACAAAAGGGGCCTGTTTGGCCACCAACGTCCTGAACAGGGTCTGAGTGTATGACTGGAAGGGCTTTCTGCAAAGTTAAAAAGACAGAGAAGAAAACAACAGCAAGAAAAGGATCATCACAGAATCTCCCACTCCAAACCTTCCTTCCGCTCAGAAGCGCCAACAGATAAAATATAAACCCCTTTGAAGAAAACTCCAGCCGGAGCTCAGCTTTCAGGTTTTAGAAGACACTGGCATCCCAAGGCCTTCCCACTGTCAGATCAAACACACACAAAATATTTCCCTGATAGTTTCCTAGTTTCACCCACACCATAAAAAACAGGCTTTCATTTTAATCTACTTACCACACTGTGGGTGAAGGCCTCTAATTTCACAGCACAGAGATAACACAAATAATTCATATGACACATTAGTGAAATATCGACAGGGAAAATATTTAGTCAGTGCTCACCAAAAACAACGGGGAGCTCCATGACTGCCTCTGGGGGCAGGGAGATGCCTTTCCAACAGGCAGAGCCCCCTCCTGCCACACTCCTGGCGTTAATGATAAGGTCAGCCTACCTGGATCTGAATTGTTTTGTAATCACACATTTTTCTAGTCCCTCCGTGGCTTGCAACATTAGCAGCCTCCTTTAGGACTTCCAGGGGCTGCTGCGTATGTGAAAGTCCCTAGAAAACTGTTAAGTGCCATAAACATGCAGCCATGGCAATTCCACTCCAATCATAACCAAGGCCATCACCTGCCCCACCAGCAAACACTTGTGTGTTTCGTTTTCTCTTTCTGGTCAACTTAAAAAAAAAAAAATGAAAAATTCTTACACTTAGTTTCCCATGGCAAGACCCAGCCTTTGAAGATCTCACTCCCTTTCTCAAGACCCTCTTTGAACTTTCTCTCCCACGAAGTCTTCCTCTCAGGGCAATAAGGAGACCTCTCCACGGCTACGATTCAGTCCATTTCTCCCACCCTTGAGGTTCCGCCAAGTGTGGGGCAGATGGCCTTTACCGACAGGACAAATCAATGTTGTCTGTGTAGAAAGCTTTTTTTTTTTTCTTTTTTTAAAAAAAGGCCACGACTCTTCAATCATCAGCTGGGTATGTGGGAGAGCACAGCAGAGCAGAGCAAACTGAAATGCAATCTGAGATGGCAAAGGTCTGAAACCCGACTCTGGGCTTACAAATACCCTTACTTTATTTTTATTTATTTACTTATTTACTTACTTATTTTTTGAGATGGAGTCTCACTCTGTTACCCGGGCAGGAGTGCAATGGCACAATCTGGGCTCACTGCAACCTCTGCCTACCGGGTTCAAGTGATTCTCCTGCCTCAGTCTCCTAAGTAGCTGGAATTACAGGCTCGCACTAATATGCCCCGCTAATTTTTGTATTTTTAGTAGAGACAGGGTTTCACCATGTTGGCCAGGCTGGTATTGAACTCCTGACCTCATGATCTGCCTGCCTCGGCCACCCAAAGTGCTGGGATTACAAGCGTGAGCCACTGCTCCCGACCCATTCTTACTTTCTTAATGCCTTTAAGTAGATGTAGGGTCTCCAGGTCCCAATCCACTTTTGTGAGACATTTATCTTTGTCTTTGTCTTTTTACCAATCCAACCCCTTCAATTTCCCAACCACACCCACGTGGGCCTTAGATTTATTTTCTGCTGATATCATTTCAAAAGCCATGAACGTGACCTCGTGGATGTAAAAATTCACCTTCCAATTCTCTGTCAAGAGTGCTGCTCAGAGCTAGGGCTCCGGGTCTCCAGCCTGGCCCTCCTAAGTGCCAGGTTCTTGTTGTTTTTTTGTTTTCCTGCCTAATACCACATGTAACATGTGGCCACAAGCTCCCTGCTAGACCCGCATCCCCAGCTGCCCATCAAATATGTCCCTGGAACTTCCAACTTACCCCATCCCAAACTGAACCCACGCCTTCTCTCCTCTTCACACTCTACCCCTCTATACCGTCCCAGGCAATAATCGCGCCCCACTCTGCACGTGACCCCCGTCATTCTCACCATCGTGCTCTTCCTCTCCTTCCACTCCCAACCCTCAGCCCAGTCCAGCCCAGTCTTGGCCCTTCATATCAGTCCTAGAACCAGCACAGCGATCTCCTAACTTGGTTTCTTGTTTATACCATGCATTTTCCCTCCCTAACCCCATGGAAGTATATTTAAGTACCTTATCAAAAAGAAATCAGTTATTTTTCACTTGCTCAAAATATTGCTATAAGCTAAGGTCCAAAATGCTTAGGCTGGCCTCTGCCTACGTTTTCCAACCTCATGTCCTACTCCTCACCAACATACTCTCAGGCCAAGCTGCATCTCACTTATGTTACCTGAATGTGCCGCGAACTCTCCCCTTGCGTGTCTCAGCCTGGAATGCCCTGTTACTTTTGGCCAAAAGAATCTCCCCGTTTTTCTAAAACCCAGGCAGAGCCAACCACACCTCAGTGAGCTTTTCGTAACTCCTCATGGGACATTTTCTTTTTCTTTTTTTGAGACAGAGTTTCACTCTCGTTACCCAGGCTGGAGTGCAATGGCGCGATCTCGGCTCACCGCAACCTCCGCCTCCTGGGTTCAGGCAATTCTCCTGCCTCAGCCTCCCAAGTAGCTGGGATTACAGGCAAGTACCACCCTGCCCAGCTAATTTTTTGTATTTGTAGTAGAGATGGGGTTTCACCATGTTGACCAGGATGGTCTCGATCTCTTGACCTCGTGATCCACCCGCCTCAGCCTCCCAAAGTGCTGGGATGTGGTAGGTTTCTTAACTATCCCTGCTATAGCTATAGCTTATTCAAGTAATGTCTTTCTTGCCCAACCCTTAATTCAAGCTTGTCCCTCCACTGACTAATATGGGACTTGACACACAGTCAGTACACAGGAAACACTTGACGGATCCATGCAAGGAGGCGACATATTCTATTACCCTGCCTTTAAACCTTTGACACTTTCGAGGAATAGCAGATTTTCTGGTCTCATCCCAGTCCTCCCTCGGCTGGCTCATCTTTCCCGTATTGATTCTGAACTGCACGTCACCCGCATCCTGAGGGCATTCGCCGAAATGCTCAAGTAAAAGGCAGAGAGATATGGGACAGAACGCTGAAGACAATCTATAACCCTGCCCCCAAGGAGCTGAGACTAATGAGAAGATAAACACAGCTGAAGCCGCAAATGCGAATCCAATGAGGACTGTAACTAATGAGAGAGAAAACCAGAGTGTGTTTGCTACCAAGAAAATAATAACGGAAAAGACCAATTAATAAAGGGAGGCTGTCACACGCCATGACAATTTTCATTAGAACGTTTTATTAGGCTGAATATGATACTGATGCCTGTTCATGGAGGTTTGTAATAAAACTTCTCCACTAAACATATTCTTAATTCAGACGCGAGGCATCGATACTGTCTACTGTCTCCTTAAATCCTTGTGGAGTTTAAAACTTACATTGTTGATTTCAAAGATAGGGAGTGGACAGTGGCTTGTGAAGCAAATTCACTTTCAATATTTTCATCATCAGAGCAAGCATTATATATATGAAAGTTAAACGTATTCTAAACTACATACAATCTCATCTCTGTGGACAAGTCTTTTTGAGGTTCTAGATTCCCAGATGGAGGTGCTGACAATGCCACAGAAGCAAAACCCTAAAGCGTGGGCAGATGAGAGATGGGAGGCCATCAGTATAATCCCTTCTAGATGCCACGGTGGCAGAATGCGGAGAGGGGCCTCGGAGGCAGCAATCCAGACTGGAGAAGATGGACCAGGCAGGTTTTCACGACCTCCCTGTCTATACCACCCGAATGGTTGAACACTCCTGGACAATTGCTGCTAATGTACCCCTGAAACCAGTCCTCCTGTGGATGAAGGGATAATGTCACCGGAATGTCATCAAAGTGTAACACCTTCTTGGACCTTTTAATCTACATGTCCCACTAGAAGCAGCCATGTTGGATGCTGCCTTCTCAGGTCCTATTTCTGCTCTTAGGGTTGAGCTGTTAACTTAAGCCATAGAAATGTGCCTCCGTATTTCTGCTCTGGGAAGAAAACTGTTTGACAAATGTCCTTCGTTAGAAGAAAAATGACAAAATAAAATGATCATTCCTCGGCTCTTAATCCTTCTTTCCAAAACTTGAGAAACATCATTAATAGGGGTTCTCAGGCATGGTAATAAGGACGAAGAGGCTGAAACAAATGTAAAAAGCCTTGTTTTCAAAGCCTGGCACTGATGCCATCATTGGCTTGACCTGTCAGAATACCTGTCCCCATTCAGGATAGTCAACTTGTGAGAAGGCAACATAAGCCAAGCATTTTTTTTATGCCGAAGTCATATATCTTCTAGATCTGCCTGACACAATATGTATGTGTGCATATATGTGTGTATATTTATAAATGTGCATGAATGTATATATGTGTATGTATGTATAAATTCACATTACACAGAACTAATTATTTTAGTTCACTCACTGCTCAATATTATAGGATTGGAGCTTCTCTTCTCAGTTAGAGTCTATTTCTTTTTTTTTTTTTTTTTTTGAGACGGAGTTTCGCTCGTTACCCAGGCTGGAGTGCAATGGCGCTATCCCGGCTCACCGCAACCTCCGCCTCCTGGGTTCAGGCAATTCTCCTGCCTCAGCCTCCCGAGTAGCTGGGATTACAGGCACGTGCCACCATGCCCAGCTAATTTTTTGTATTTTTAGTAGAGACGGGGTTTCACCATGTTGACCAGGATGGTCTCGATCTCCTGACCTTGTGATCCACCCGCCTCAGCCTCCCAAAGTGCTGGGATTACAGGCTTGAGCCACTGTGCCCCGCAGTTAGAGTCTATTTCTTAAAGACCGGCGCCTCCAAGTCCAAATGTGTGTGTATCACTCACACTATCACAATACAAATTAGACAAAATAGATGCTTAATGATGCGATTCGATTTACACTGGCACCGTTATTACAGCATTACCCGATTTTCATTCCTACCGCGTATTAGAATCGGCTTCTACCATGTTTGAGTGAAGAAATAAAACAACCTAATCACCGTGCCAATTAATTCTGTAACAGTCATGTAGTATATCAAAACTACAACATTTCACAGCATCTCAGAAAGACGGGATTCCACACTTGGTTCACTGTGTTTAGCCTGCTATGCCTCTACTCCTTGAATACTTTGACCTATCCTAGTCCAGTTATAAGCCAAAATCGATAAAAGACCCTTAGCAAGTTTAATTGATTCTCTGAGAAAGGATACTATAATCCATCAGCACACCCTCACCTTGTGCTGACATTATTTTCTTGGGTTTACCCAATACCATTGTGGTACCAGAAACTACTCTTTCTCACGCTGCTCTCTCATCAGCTCAAATACTGTAACAGCAGAGCAATTTCAAACAGGTTGCGAGTCTTTGAGAGGACCGCTTGCAAAGTGCATGTAAATTATTAGATTACATTACAAGTGAAAGACTCAGCAGTGGGTCACCATAGTGGAGCATTAATATAGAGCAAGTTGAATGGAACCCTTGCAGACAAGCTTCTCCAATGTGATTTTTTTTTTTTTTTTTTTGGCAGAAAGCAAAGTGAGTAAAGGGAAGGGAGGGCAAGGAATGATGGGCTGCTGATGAAGTCTCTGAGAGCACTATAAGGCAAGGTGGGAATAAGGGAGCAGCCCTGGCCTCAGTGCCTGAAGCGGGCGGCCAGAGGGTGCTACAAGAATAGTGGGAGCAGGGAGACCGGGGGCGGGGGGCGGGGGGGAGCCAGAAGCCACACAGGTATGGGAGGTAACGTCAGGAAAGCCCAACAAGTGGCTGATGGGACTGAATTTAAGTGATTTGTCCTCTCTTGGTTCGATCCAGCCCATGGTAGCTGAGCTGAGGGATCAAGGAAAGATCCAATCCCAAAATACAAACGGGTCATAAAAGCAAAGGCTTCAGGACCTCCACCAAATACTTGAGGCTCTTATTGATTTCACAGCGCAGTCCATCAGAACCAAGAAGCAATGTTACAAGAAAAGGGAGCTGAAGACATGAGGAAAAGAAGCAGAGAGAGGACAAGGGCACCCCACCCTCCTGTATTAGCTCCATCATCACCACATCATCAGAGCTACACATACCGTGTGCCTGGCCTCTTACCTGGCACACATTATCATGTATGATCCTCCCAATCACCTTGGGAGGCCGGCATCATCATCATGACCTGATTCACCATCATCCCAGTGTTCAGGTGAGGAAATTGAGTGATTAATGAACTTACCTAAGGTCACACGGCTAGCATAGAGCACACCTGGGTCTTGGCCCAGGTCAGTCTCACTCCTCCCAGCAGGCTTGTAAAAGCAACATACACAACATGTCCAGCTTTGGTCTGAGTTGCTCAAGACTGGAGTAGGCCTAAGCGGGCAATTGAGGGGATCAGTGGATTCAAGACAGGCAGAAGTCGGACAAAGGAGGGCAGCTGGGTCCAAACCGAAGGCCCCATTGGAAATATAAGCCAGCAGGGGATGTGCTTGCTGAGCTGGGAAGTGCTGAGCTGGTCTATTGAGAAAGCAAACACCTCTGCAGGGCAAAGTGGAAGAGAATATCTGCATAGTTAATGAGCACCTATTTTGTGCAAGGTATGGTGCAGGGAGTAAAAGCATAAACTTTGGTCCTGATCTCCTTAAGGAGACTAGGCTCATGCCCAGGAAATAACTATCAGATGGTGCAAAACAAACCTGGCAGAGAAAGAAATTACACGTTGATTAAATCAGCAAGGCCCATATGACTGACTGCTGTAACAGAGAGGGGCCTGGGAGCTTTAAGAGGGAGAAGGTGGATCTTACCTGGAGCGAAAATGATGATAGAATTTTAATGAGTGAAGAGAGAGGCAGGGGAGACTAGGTGAGGCAGAGGAGGAGGGGAAAGATGAAGGTACATACTAGGTAGAGAGATGAAAAGGCCGAGTTCAAAACACATTTAGAAGAGAACCACCATACATGCCGGGTTCGAGGTGACCCAGACAGGGAGCTTCTTAAAGAAACGCCACCCCTCAAATATAAGATCTAGAAAGGCAGGGAGCTCACCTCTCTTGTTTGCTGCCGCAGGCCCCAGAACATAGAAAATACTCAGTCAATCTATGTTGAATGAAAGAATGCCACCGTTGGGCTCTCACACAGTGATGTCAGCTCCAAGCAAAAGAGGGACCCCAGAATTTATATTCTACGCCAGTCTAGGCAGATGTGCCCCTAAATGTACTAGCATATTAATGAGCCTGTGCTAAAAGTGGCATAAAGATACCCTATGATTATAAATAATATTTACATTATTTTCCCTCTCCCACCGCCTCCCTGAAGTCATAATGAGTAACACCTGGAGCTTAACATCAGTTACTGTGGAAACACTTCCTTCCTCCCCCACTGCCAGGCCATGGTCCCCAGAAAGGCTGCTTCTACTTCATGCCCAGGACCCGGTTTTCAGATCATGAGGAGCAGCTCATAAACAGAACATGGAACCAGTTTGGGGGCTCATACTCTGTATTTTAGATAATAAAGCAAAAATAACCACGCATCACAGTGAAGGGTAAATATTTTACGTGAAAAGTTTGTGTGCGTGTGTGTGTACTAGTTCACAACGTAATGTTTTTCTCATTGGGGATTACAGTATAAATGCCTTAAAGATATCTCTCTGAGGGGCAAGCAGTTCCATGCTTGGGACCTCTAATATTCAAGCTGAATAACTCTTGTTTCACTGGCTAAATGTGACTGTCAAGTGGTATTTCTCTTTGGTCCGGTAAACTTGGCCCATCCTGAAACCTCGAGACGTTCTGTGTAACATACAAAGTTCAGAATCAGTTCTTTCAAAGCATCCTCCGTTTCACAACACACAAACAATCTTTTGCAGAAGAAAAATGATTTATTTTTTCTAATTACAGAAGTAACATACACATAATGTAAGAACCTCAAAAAATACAAAAAAGTGTGAAGGAAAAGAAACTCACGGATAATCCCACCATCCACAGGTGACCAATTTATCATTTCATTTTGTTATACATCAGTCCAAGTTAATTTACTAACGTATCTCAGACACACACACACACACACACAGACACACAGTAATTTCCTTTTACGAAAAAGATGGCATACCCTGCACACTGCCATGAAAGCTGTTGCTTTTCACTTAGCAATGGCTGATGAACATTTTTCTTGACAAGAAACACTTTTCTACTGCAATATGATTTTTAATGGCTACAGAGTATTCCACTCACAAACCTGATCCGGAGCATCTCTAGAAAAGGCACAGCCTTAAATCCTCTGCTTTGAGAAAACAAGCTTGCTGCAGACACACGCCCTCGCTGTGGGCCCCCGGCTGTGTCTAGCTCCAGAGAGCACTAAGTATGAGATGCTCAACTCCATACCTATGAATAGAATGTCAAAGTAGTTTTACTTTCTATTAAATCAGAGCATGAGACTTGGGCACCATTTTCACTATAGAATGGCTTTACTGACATTTCTACAAGCTCGCTGATGGATTTTTAATTAATAATAAAAATGCCCAGTGGGATTAAAAAAACAACAATTACTGACAATGTTTCACTAATAATGCGTAGCCAAAATAACCCATGCTTACTTTCGCACGTATCTACTGCCTAACGCTCGATCAACTTGCACACATCTTAATACCTCGTTACTGGGACTTCGGAGGATCCTGGCACAGCACAGAAGTGACAGAAACGTAAGAAAGGACAAGACCTGGGTTCTAGTCACAGCCGTGCTACTTACTAGGCATGTGCTCTCGAACACATCACGTCTGTCAGCATCAGTTAAAACAGGGCAGGCTAGGCTGGCTGATTTATAAAGCCCTTTCTGGCTTTAACATACTTTAGTCTAATAAAATATGACCAAGTGGTAGCATCAGGAGTGAGTGTCATATATTTAACACACACCCCCAAGTTCAAGACTAAAATGTCATCTCCAGAGGGTTCAAGAGCTCTTTCAGTGTAGCTTCAGTTCCCCTTCTGATTCCCTGTGAGCCCTCAAGAATGCTAGAGAACTCACCAATCCTTGACTATCATCCTTGACACTGTCAAATTTTACAGCTTCCAGGTTAATGGCCTGCTCTACTGAAACTTCCCACTTTCTGAACACACGTGCTCATCCAAAGCGCACGATGAGCATCAGAAACGGTAAAATACAACTCCAGCCATTTCGCACTTGTCATCATCAGTCAACTAATAAGAGCACTAAAAGAGGAATCATTTCTTGATGATCAGGTTATTTCATTTGCCTTCGCTTTCCCAATGCTTCATTATCTGGACAATTGAGAGTTACGGGCAGTTCACCTTCCCAGTTGCCCTGTCCTTTCAGATCTAATATCCCTGTCGCACAAACGTTACTGGGAGCACATGCTGTATTGTCAACATGGCCTTTTCATCATCCACTGGTTTTATAACTGGAGAGTGAAAACGAAAAGCAATGCAGTTTATTTAAGAGGTTTTAGACTTGCTAAATATGTATGTGTGTCCTTTGTGATTGGATGTTGAAAATTCATTAATTTCCACACAGCCACTCCTTCCCAGGACTGGCATCGATCATATGCGATGAGACGAGCCTCTTTGCTTCTCGAAAGGCAGAATCACATCTGGTTGCCTTTTCTCTGTCTTTGTCCATTTCTTCAGGTTTCTTTAAAACTAATTGGAAGAGCCAATAAATATGCCTGCCAATTCCCTTTACACCCTAGGAAGGCAGCTCACCATGCCCTTCAGACCTGTTCCTGCTGTTTTTCCAAGTATTCCCTTACCTGCCTCTGTCAATTGGCATTCTCGACAAGTTCGTCATAACTTCTCAAAGAGTCAACTTTTCCTCTTTTCATTGCCCTTGTTAAAGATAATTTAAAATTAGAAAGTCACATTCCCAGCCATTTCAGAGTCAATGCTAATGTCATTTTCTTTAGCACAGAAGTCTCTTTTCCCTCTAGAAATTCCCTGCCTTCATCCACAGCCCCCCACTCCTCAGTCCCCAAACAGGCACCATTAATCTCTGCAGGCGCGAGTCCGTTCCCCTGTTTCACCCTTCTTATCTTCCCCCCACAATACTTCACCCAGTGAAACACACTTTAGCTTGTGGTTCTCCTTCCTTCACTCCACTTCAGAGAGAAATGTCTGGGTCTAGAGACTGTAAAGTCACCTTCAGGAAAGAAGCATACAGTTGGCTGTTAATCAGGATAAGACCCAGAAAATTACATCATGTGCAGCTTGGCTTCTCAGTACATGCATTTATGTTTTGGGGATCAAGAGGATTTCTGCCGTACAACCTAAAATTCATATTTATGCCTTTTGTTTCGCTATAACGAATTCCCCACCTAACTGCACAATAGTTAATAGTCTGGAATACTTAAAGCAGTGATTACCATACTTCATAGTAGAATCAAACGTTGGTTCCCTCATTTCCCCCTCATTCTGTTTCACCTCTATTTTTGCCTGGTTATCCTTGGTAGCAATCTTTGCTTATAAAAAAAATGTCAGATGATTTTGTATTCTGTAATTTTTACTCCCATGGCTAGCCTGACATACAGATGTTAAGCCCGTTTATTTTCCCCCATTAAGCACAGACCCCGACATCACCATTCTTATCACAGGCACACCCATCAAGTTTCAGAGTGTCATTTATACACAATTTTATTTCTTACTTTTTTCACACACGCCTACCACTCACGTACAGCAACTTCACTACATTCATATTCCATAAACTTCATCAGCATTCAGCCAAGCCCTCCCCCAAAGTAAGCTGGGTATTTTTAACAGTGTGCTGCTTCTTTCACTGGCTTGAAGATCCTGTACTAAGTGGCACCCTTCCTTGCATCCTAGAAGAGCTTATCTATTACGGTCTGTGCATGGAGGCAGAAGCTTCTTAAAGTTCTGGGAAACTTTAACATGTTCATAATCAAGCCAGGTGCAGTGGTACACATTTGTGGTCTCGACTACTGAGAAGGCTGAGGCAGGAGGAGCCCTTGAGTCTATCTCTTTAAGGAAAAAAAAAAAAAACTAAAAAAAAATATAGTTCTTCATCAAAAGTAAAACACAATAACCTTGTTAAGATGATTCTAGGCTGGAGATTATCAGTAAATCCTCTATACCATAATATTTCCTACTTATTTCCACCCTCTGACTCAGAGTTTCAGAGAAAACATCTGTGGTATAGAAAGTCTACCTGGGGCAGCCTGGAGTCCTCCACCACCTCCAAGGGTGTGTGAAACCTGACTCTCAGCTGTCAGTGGGTGCTGCACAGGGCTCCCCAGAGGACCACCGGGGCCCCAGCTCTGTGGACAAAACAATCACCAGGAAACCACAGCGCCATGTCATTATTAAGGTGCCATACTATGTAATATGATAAGACAGTCTGTAATAATGACATGTCAGGGAAGGCCATAAAAATATGTTAGAAAAAAAAAATTGTTCTTGCACCAACACAAGGGAATTGTTACCTATAATTCCTTTCAGCATTGGCATGTAAGAGCCAGAGCAAAACGCTGCCCTGCCTTCCCTATGAGCTGTGCTCCATTTATTCCTCCATTTGCCCCATTCTTCTCTTACAGGGATTTCTTTAGACAATCACCTTGATGCCTGTGCTCCAAAAGTAAAAGAAAAATACTAATAATTGGGCTGTCACGAAAGCACACCAGGACTCCCCAGCTGAATGTCCACCACTGCAATATCGAAGATATTGCTGCAGAACGTATCATTACGTCAAGCGGGACAGCCCTGAGAAAGCCAGCTTCTGACGGTGTGGTTCCAGGGATGCTTTCCATATTCGCCCAGTGAAAACAGCCTGTGCTTGGAAACGGGGTTTTTCTGGGGGGCAATCTAAATGTTCTTTATTGACATTCTGGAAATTGTTCCTTCTAACCTTAGAGTTTCCTAACTTTCAGGCTTTAAGAGGCTCATGCTAAAGATATCCCTTCAATATATCTATGGAACAGTTAGGACTATCTACCATTAGATGGGGGGAAACTTATATTGTGTTATCCTAATACAGCAAATAACTTACTTGAAAATACAATATCCTTCCTGAATATTCAAGAATGACTTTACCGCCAGGCATGGTGGTTCACGCCTGTGATCCCAGCACTTTATTTAGGAGGCCGAGGGGGATGGACTGCCTGAGCTCGGGAGTCGGAAACCAGACTGGGCAACATGCTGAAATCCTGTCTCTACTAAAACACAAAAAAATTAGTTGGGTATGGTGGTGTGCGCCTGTAGTCCCAGCTACCCGGGAGGCTGAGGCAAGAGAATTGCTTGAACCGGGGAGGTGGATGTTGCAGTGAGCGGAGATCCTCACATTTTTCTTTTACTTTTGGAGCACAGGCATCAAGGTGATTGTCTAAAGAAATCCCTGTAAGAGAAGAATGGGGCAAATGGAGGAATAAATGGAGCACAGGATCCACTGTGCACCTGCACAATGTATCACTAATCTCAAAAAAATTAAAAAATGAAATGAAAAGGAATGACTTTACATCCTCTTTAACTCCAGAGAAAGAATTAAGAAGAGCCTAGGGTCTGGATGAAATTTTCCTATAAAGTAAAAATCTCAACTAGAATCAACTAATTGAATTTCTGTTTTGCTACTTGCAACTTAGAAAACAAGGGAGGCAAATAACAAAACATACTGATATTGAGGATTTAACAAAAAAAAGAAAGAAAGAAAACAATTCCCAGGCTGGGATCAAGATAGATTTAGTCCAATCTCTGACACTGTGTCCATTTACAGTTCTATAATGTACAACTGGAATTCATACTCAGAACGGTGACCTTGTAGCACCGTAAGATTCTCAAACCCCCGAGAAAGAATCAATTACATTCCTCAGTGTTCTTTCTAGAGTAGGAAAGGGGACTAGGACATTTAGAAAACTTATTCAACAAGGAAAGGACAAAAATTTTGGGGGCTTATCTACTACTGTTAGTTACAAAAACCAATTCATCAGCAATGTCCTCACACCCTTAGACAAAAATCACGGTTTACTGGGTATTAACCAATGCTTGAACACTGATCATCAGGCTTTTCTTCTTTGAAGCATTAATTTTTAAATGATACAATTTTATTTTAACATACAGTGTAAAAAGATGGGTGAAAAAATTAACAGCTCATTTCTAAATCAACACTTCCTATATGAATTAGAAAAAAAAACACTAAAAAATGACAGAAGAGAGAAGGAGAGACAGAAAGAGTTTTATTCCTAAATTCTGAGCAAAAAAGATAATCTTCATATTCAGAAAAGTATTCCAAATTCTGCAGGAGTATTCTCTCCAATACCTGAAGGCCTTTAAAAAATACTCTCCTTGTTCCTGCACAATGTATCACTAATCTGGGATGAATGGGCCAGGAATCTGGGAGGGAATAGATGATGTCTACCCCGAAGTTCCTGTGTATTGGCTTGTAAAGACATTAAGTGTGAACAGCCAGATATGTCATAATAGGAGAGGTGTGTTTCCTATAATTTTTTTTTATTTGTTTTTGCACACATGGCAATCACATTACAGCTCTTTCCCCAGACACCTGGGAAACATAGTTATGCATTTTGCTTCGACAGAAGTATAAGCTAAGAAGCTCAACTCATCAAGTTGCCCAGAAAGATGAAGGGGAAAGGAAGACTAAGTTCAGAACACGTGGCATATGCTTTAAGAGCCCACAGCACACGAACCCCTAATAACCTCAACTCCATCTGTCCTTCCAACATCGTACCGCAAACTCCTAAAAGCAAACACGGGAGAAGCTGGAGGAAAACACGTGTCTTCACTCAGAAGTAACAGGTCCAAGGAAAAGAACTCACGGGCTTGTCTCACTCAAATTCCAAAGATTAGCTCTGGAGGGAGGGCAGTTTGCTTCCAAAAGTGATTCAGCTGTTACCAAAAATCCTCGGAACATTTTCATCCGGAGGTGAAGTATTACGATGAACATTCTCACATTTCTCTGGGTCTTTATGAGTCTACAGTGGAACCGGGAGTGTGTGCTACAGTCCCCACCTCTGCTGCCTTGAAAACAAGCTGAAGGGTCTCATCGTTAGGGGCTTCAACGCAGGCTCTGTACTTCAGTTTCAGAAACAGAGGAGTTTTCTAATGCCAAGGGCTCCTCAGAATGCCAGTAGGTACTGGAAAATTCCAGCAGGTGACACATTAAAAGAGTCTCCTATAGATGTTTTGAGCCACTCAGGACTTGAATTCTAAATTAATAATTCAATTCTTTTTTAAGAAATAAGGGGGAAGCAACAGAAGTTATCATAACTATCATCAAATGCATTTTCTAAAATTATTCTATTACATTTTTAAAGGGTATTATTATAAATGTTTTTATGAGCAATTTACCGGAAAATTAAAGTCCTTTAGTTTAAAAAAATAATTATGTTATCCCTCTGGCAAAGGATTTTCTCCCAGCCAGTAGCTCTTTCAAACTATGGGGCATCATTTGTTCACTGTGGCAAGCCGGGTCCATGCGTGGAAAGTTGATCTGAGAATCAATCTTTAGAAAGGGCGCTAAATTGCTAGGTAAGAGCACCTACTAGAAAGTGAATCGGCCAAAACCAAAGGGGGCAAGAGAGGCCACGCACTTTCAAAGTCAAAGCCTGATGTGGGTCCAGAAGTCCTCAGGGCTACACATAAACTACGGGCCCTGTTGAGGGATTTTAACTCAATCTAAGCTGAGCTACCAGGGTGTTCGACCTCAACCCAGCTGAGGTTTGCACTGTTAATCCCATCTTTCGGTTTCGATTTTGCCCTCAGGTCTGCCAGCCCTAAAAGCCTTCAACCTCCAGCACCGGTGTTCCAAACCAATTCTGTGGTCCACAGCTGTGTGCAGATAACTAGAGCGAAGTAAAACATGTAAGCTGCCGGCATGCACACATCATAACGAGATTCTGAAAAAGGGTTTTTAACAGCAGTGACGTCACGACGCTCGTGGCTCCCTGAAGTCCCTGAAAGCCTTGTCAAATTAAAGATTCTCTGTGGTTTTTTTCTGCTTCGTTCCTACTTCCCATGTTGCTTCCTGCCTTTCTTTTTTTCTCTTTCACTGTGTTGGAAAGATGGAACTGAATGACACAGGACATCATTAATATCACCTAGAAAATGGAAGAGTTTTGTTAAAACTGCTAACGTTCCCAGCACAGTTTTATGGACAGGGGAAGGTCATCTTTCAGATTATAAAGTCACACATCTGATTCTGTAAGCTCAGGCAATAAAGGTACACAGTGCATTCACACTTGGATTCCCATGAGTGAGGAATTCAACAGTAGCCTCAAGTCTACCTAGGTAGTGTCTCATGAGGTCACTGCAATGTCATAATAATCCAGACCACAATTTCTGTGGACTTCAAACAGCGACTGGCTAGAAGCTGAACCTGCTACCTTTTGGGAAGCATCTCCCAAATCAGAAGGCTTCCCGTTTCACCCAATAACAAGAACTCCACTCCACCCTCCTGCAGGATGAAAATGCTAATTATAAGGTGATGATGTTTGCTTTTCCTTTCTAGTTGTGTGCCTTTATGTTTTAAGTATTTAAAAGGCGTAATCACCTAGTGTGTAGGTTAATTTCTTTCCGATATTGTAATTTATGCAACATTAATACTGGATGCCAGCTCCAATTTTCTTACTGCTTACACTCTGGGAGCCGACTTGCATATTCTGCCAACTACATTACATCATCTGAAAACCCAAACATTTCCCATTTTCAAATCACTCTCAACTACCAGGCATACTTACACATTCTTTTTCTCCCTAGCTCACACACGCAAAGATTGGTACCCCTGAGGAGCAGATGCTACATCTGAGGTTAAAGTCTGCAAATGCACATAATTTCTGGAAGCTATTCTACTGCTGTGTTAGCTAAAGGATGCCTCCATCTCTGACCTTCCTTTTTCCATTCAGACTGTTATATAACCCAGTGCCTGCGTGCAGAATGTGAGTTGAGTGTTTGGGCCTTACCACCCCCCTCCCATTAAATCTTCTAGGAGGGACAGACAGGGGCTGGTTCAAAAAATGAGTTGGGGGGGCACAGGGTGGGGGTGAAGGGGATATGGGTCAGCAGGTCAGCTGTGCAAGATGTATCCCACTCCCACTATGCCCCTGTCCCTTTTTGCTGAGCCTAGGGGGCTGGTGGCACTGAATGCCCCAGCGTTACATAATTTGCAAGAACAGCAAGTTACGGATTTGCTAGTGGGTTCTGCAGCCTGCCACCCTGATCGCTTGCAAGAACACCTTCTGGCAAGAATGACACCTGAAGATGTTAATAACACACAGGGTCGGGGGTGGGGGTCAAAAAGGAGAAGGGTGGCAGCACAAACCAAAAATTAGTGCGGCTTCGTAAATACTATGTCCCCCCCAATCCTAAAAAAAAAGCCCCAGAAACACATGAAGGGGATTTTCTCCAGTGTTTCTGATTAACCCTGTTACATAACCCGCTCGCATTCCAAATCCACCGTCTCAGGGTCTAAATATACTCTTTGCAGCCAAAAGCTCCCCGCACACAAACTCACCGAGCTTAGCGGCAGGTCCGGACCCCCAGCCCTCATCCCCTTCCCTTTCGTCCTAGCCCTCGCTGCCCCCCTCCCGCTGAAACGGCAGTTCGGCGTGGTCACTCTTTGGAAATCGCCTTTAATTAAATGTTTTTCGCGTGTGTCATCCTGATGGCTTTTACTGTACTCGAATTCCGTGAATGGGAAAGCGCCTGGACAGGGGGTGTGGCTAAGTTGGGGGGGGAATACTGTAAAACAGCCAGCACATGATCAGCCATATTCCTACCTCCAACTATAACATCGAAAGGAAGGCAGCAGCTCCCGGGGCCCCATTCGCCTCTACCCAGCCCTCCCCAGCCACTGCCGAAGCCGAGTGCAAGAGGAGGGGGCGCGCTGGGCCGGTGCCCAAGCCGGGGCTGGAGAAATCCTCTCCGTCCCCACCTCGCGCGAGCCCGCTTCCTCCGGAGTGACAGGCGTGATTTATACATTATTTACAACAGTAATTAAAGCTGTAGCTTCCTCCTGTTCTTTGCAAACTCCAGGCGCATTCAAATAAATAATCCCCTACTCCCGAGAAAAACCCACATCAGTTCCAATACCTTTAAGGAAGAGTGAGCTTTCCTCAACAGCTTACTTTAGGAAAGGAGGGAGCAACTGAGCCCCCCCCCCCATCCCCACCACCACACGCACACATAGACCAAACACCAAAATGAAGAGTAAAAATCGCCAGGGGAGGAGGAAACATCGCTTGCACTGTCCAACCAGCATGCAACCAGCACTGACCATCCCCAGGTTCCTGCAGAAACGCTTGGAACCTCCGAGAGAGAAGGATTCCCAGAGCAGAAATAAGTTTGGGTGCTTGCTTGCTTTTGTAGACGCTCCCTCCGAATGCGCGTGGAGTGCCCCACAGGACCGCCGCCCTCGGCGTGCTAGCGCGCACACGCCCCCCGCCAGCCTGGGCGCCGGGCTCCGAACCCCCAGTCTGCAAACTTGCGCATCTCCCCTCGCCGCGCCCGCCAGACAACTTGGCCAGCAGCTCCAGCGCCCGCACCCCCCTTCCTCCAGCCCTTCCTTCAAATCTCAAACGTACCGCCGGGCTCCAGAGAGGCTGTCCACACCGCCCCAGACCCCGGAGCGCCCCCTCTCCACCCCCTGGGCTTCCCAGGTCACTCACTCTTCCCACCCCCCGCCCAGATCTGAGAGGGACCGAACACACAGCCCCGACTCCGGCAGCCGGGGCCGAAACTGTCAAGAGGAGAAAAGGTAAAGCAGGAGGAGGGTGGCCATAACAGATTTTTTTTTTTTTTTTTTTTGCCCCTTCTTAAAAGGACACTGCCGCTTTAAAAGTTTCTTGCCCGGGTCCCCATTCCCCGCTTCTCCGTATTTTGGGGGAGCGTATTTAATTAAGGCAACGCAGCTTCCCTCCCGTGTTTGCAGAAAAATCAAAGCCGGGGGTGGGGGCGGTGAGCCGGCCGGCTGTCAACCTTCCCGCCGCCTCCCCCGCCCCCCTCTGCTCCCGCAAGCCGAGAACGGGCTGCAAAAGTTTGCAACATTTCTGGGGGGCGGAGGGGGGAGGGGAGGGGGATCCTCCGGGCTCGGGGCGCCGCCGCAGGCTCGCGCGCGGCCGCGGGACCCCGCGTCCCGGGCGCCCGCTCCCGGCCGCCCCCCGCTCCGCGCCCGGGCTCCCGCCGCCCCCTCCCCAGCCCCTCTCCAGCCTCCTACCTCTGCTGGTGCTGGAATAGCTCTGTCTGCGCACCGGGGCTGGCGGCTCGCTCTTGCGGGCGGATTCCTGGTTCAGTGGGGTCTCCCTGGAGCCGGCGGCCGCGTCCGCGCCGCTGCTGCCTGGCTCGCTGGCGGCGGGGTCGGGGGCTGCCGGAGCTGACTCCATGTTTTTTCCCAATGTAGAGATCGCTGGAGATGGCGAGCTCCGAGACTCCCTCTATCTTCTGTTTTCAGAGCAACTCTATGGTACCAAAAAAAAAAAAAAAAAAAAAAAAAAAAAAAAAAAAAAGGAGAAGGCGACCGGCGAGAGCAGGAGGGAGAGAGCAGGCGGCGGCGGCGGGCGGGCGAGCGAGAGCGCGAGGGAGCGCGCGGAGTGTGTCTGGGTAGACGTGTGTGTGCGCCCGAGAGGGGACAGGAGGCGGGGCTGGCCACAGGCAGCGCTAGCGAGAGCTTCTCCAGCCGGCCCCCACACCCACACTCCCCACCCTCCAGACCCCAGACCGAGAGCCACAGACTGGCTGCCAATTTTGGGAGGTGGGGAAAAGAGGGGAGGAGGAGAGCAGAGCCTCTCGCGCCCCAATTCTCCCCTCTCCCCAGCCCAGGGACAGAAATTAAAGTCAGTGAGATGATTCTGTGCCTACTTCTGAGACTCTCTTGGGAACAGAACTCGTCCCCATCCGCTGCCAGCCTGGGAAGAGACAAATCCGATTGTCCACGTTGGGAAATCGCAGGTAGCCCCCAGTCAGCCCTGCCCAGGGCTGAGAAACTAAAAAGGGATTCGAACGGGGCTGACACCCCAAGGAAGGCGGAGGATGGGAGGACGTGGCACTTTTTACTTTGGGATGGGACAGCCAGTGGGTTTCCAATCTTGGTTAGTTGCATCTGTGTCTAAAACAGATTTTGTGAGTCTAGAATCGCCATAGACAGTTTCTGGTGTGGTTGAAAGAGGTCGCTTTCAGCTCCTTTGCTGTTTGTCCGCGAAGGATCCAGAAACCATCTGGGAGGGGACTTTCTACTGAAGAAAACTTTGGCCTGTTTGGTCGATGACTATCTAAGCTGGATGAAATATGCCACGCAGCATCTAGCTCAAGCGTGGCTACTAATTGTCAATTCCCACTGGTACTTTTCCTATTAAATGTACAGTGTCATCCACAAAAGGTAGATATCCTGGAAAGGCATTACTAATGCCCAGATAACATTCAGATAATTAAGAACTCCTAATAATTCACATTATTGTAGGCATCATTCTACACCCTCCTGCCATTGAAATACACTCATCCACTCATCCCCTAGTAAGTATTTAAAACTCCAGGAAAGCAGAGAATTGCATCATTGTTACCTTGACCCCGAACTCCGGTATGAAGGAACAATACAAATTGAAAGAATGGGAAATATTCCAATGGTAGCAGCTTGATTTCTCTGCCTTCATAATCAATCTACCACTTCCTTCTACATGCGAAGACACTGTGGAAATCAGTCCATGTTTAACATACACCCCACCTTCCTTTCAAAAAGCTCCAAAATTTTGACAATAAATAATATTATTATAGACCAGAAGGTGGCATAAATATATGCGTTTAAGAGCGTTGGGTAGGCTGAGGGAGTTGGGGGACATTTTTCTTTTGCTAACTTCCTGGTTTGGAAAAATGCTTTAAAAAAATAAGGGGAAAAAACTCAGATAATCACTTAAGAGGAACCTCCACGTGCCAAATTTCACACGTGGTTTCTGTTGCTGATCTTGATCTTCAAATACACAATGCCCTTTTGCCATGGTCTGTGAGTTAAGCAGCAAAACCTGTGGTCCACTCTTCAGGGTGATGTAAATGAAACGTGAATAGTCCTGATACCTTAATCCTGTCTCTGCAAGGATCCCTCTTTAGCCTGTCTGTTGGCACCTACAAACAAAGCACAATTGTCTCCTCCATCCCAAATCAGATGTGTGGGTTTCCCCATACATCAAAGCACAGATTTCCAGAGCAGCCTTCACACAATTTACCATTGGTTAGCCTGTTAGTAACGTTCTTGATGCAATTGACCTAGCTTGTCACACTTGACTTTTCCAAGGAAACAAATATATCAAAGTGTGCAGTTTAAGAAACAACTTCCTCTGGGACAGTGAGCATCTGTTGCCTCACGTTTATTTTAGAATACTTTTTAAAATACTTGTCATATTACATGTCACAATAATTCTATCTGGGATGCAAGTGACTTAAAAAGTATCCCTGGTTTCCTTTTAGGTACCAGTAGCAACTTGTTAACATTTTTGGTTAAGTCAGTTCCCCTTGGACCTTTAATGAGTTTCTTACTGTGCTCCTTAAACTAAGGTGATATTTAGTCACCCAGAAAAGACCAGCTAGAAAATGGTCTTAATGACCTGAATCAATTAAAATAGACCCTATATTCCCTTCAGAGAAAGATCCCAGCTCCAAAAAGCCACTTCTCATAACTCCCTAAGACAATTACTGCTTCTGCAATTTAAAACAATTGGGAACGCAAGTGCTTTCCCCAAGGGAAAAAATAAAAGTGAGCTAGATACATTCCTTGACTGTCAATCACTGTTACTAAAGTGTAAATTACCTGGACTGGGGAAGCATTTGAAACCTGAAAACACAGTGATTAGGTTTATATTTCTTTCCTTCCCTCCTGCTCCCTTCCGGATTGCTAATTAAGGCTTTCCAATTTTTCCAAATATTTGGAGAGATGGGAGCCTTCCTTAGACTCTGCTCATTGACAAAGGGCAACAGTGTTTGCTTAAAAATGGTTATTTTACTTTGCACCGCTGAGTTATCTGCAAAAGACTTAGAAAAGCTGTGTTTGTGGGAGAGATCAGTGTAAATTCAGTTTTGTGGTGTTTTTTTTTTTTTTTTTTGCAACTCCTCTTTGCAACACGATGAGGATCCCCCCTACCTCCTTGCCAATCCTGGCTTCTCTGCTGATGGTAACATTACTTTTCTCCTGGAACCTCAAAGTTAACTTTGACACCTCTCTTTTGCTGCTGCCCAGAACTCTCCACATCCCAACATACTTGCCAAATGCTGTCAGTTCTACCTACATGACATATGCCCTCCTTTCCACAGCCACCCATGCAGTTCCAGACATTATTGCTCACCTAAACCATGTCAGCAACCTCGTAAATAACTGGCCTTCAGTCTTATAACCACTCAAATCCATTCCAGATAGTACTGCCAAGCTAATTACCCTGAAATGTAGCTTTCATTTCCCACCATGTCACTCCCCTACTTACAAGACTGTTACTGTTACGGCTCCCTGTTGCCCATGCAATTAACAACGAACTAGTCAACTCAGTATTGAAGGTTCTACCTCCTATCATTGCACTCCTATACCAAGGATGGCAAGTCTTGTCATGTGGAAAGGTGAGGGCTGTGACTGATTTATGCTATCTCCCATGGGTGGAGGATAGGGAGTGTGACACTCCTGGCAGGAGTTTGTCAAACTGCCTTACATCCTTATGTAATCTGAGTATGTGCAGTACCAAGACCAGGCCACATGCTGCTGCCTGCTCCCCTTCCTCCTTCTAGTCCGTGATATATACATAGTTGCCTCTGCCTCCCTAAAGACCCTTCCTGCCTTCTCAGTTTACTGAAATCTACCTTCCTTTCAAAGTTCATTCTAAATGACAACTCCTCTGTGGAGCCTTCCCTGATTTACCCCCAACCAGAATATTTGAAGTGTCTTAGAGCTTTACAGCCCTCCTAAGGCACTTGGCACGCTCCATCTACCTTGTATTGGAGTTATTTGAATGTTTGCCTTACCTCCCTGGTGAAAGACATACTCCTTAAAAACAAGGCCTGTGCCTTTGCACCGAGTAGGCATTCATTAGAGTTAGCGGATTTGAGGAATGCAGTTGACGAAGTAATCATAAAGTAGCGTGTCCACACGGTGATTCCATTACACAACGAGAATGAAAACCTGAGCATTTCAACTTTCAATCACTTGACATAAGCCTTTCGTTCTTGGATAAAAGATTCATTGGCATGTATGTGCTGTTAAAATTTATATATGCAAAAAAAAAAAAAACGTTGACAGTTATTTTCTTGCATTCCTTGAGAGGGAGAGAAGGGAAATGATGGAAATATAGAGTAGAATTTCCTTGGGAGTATGGAGCTTTCTACAACATGCACGAGAACAAAGAAGACAGAAAATTAAAACTGAGTGCCCAAACAACAGGTTCGCTTTCTTTCAGGAAAGCATCCAGAAGCTGAAGCTGGGCCATGTGCTGAAAAGA